TAAGCTAACAGCAAATAGCTTAGACTTTTCTAGCTTAGCTGTCAAATAGCTTAGCTTCTTGTTAGCTTGAAAAGCTAGCTGCCAACTATGTGACATATGGACGTGTGACTGCTCGTACGATCTTAGATTTGTAAGAAGGATAATGTGTAAATACATATTAAACTTTTGCGTAATCTTGTATTCAAAGATACCAGAATATTGACACTAATGATGGATCATAAGACTTTGTAAAGGATAGATCTGTGAGACAACAAGCCTGTTAGACTCTGGTATATTATTGGATTTATATGGCTGAGATTAGTGTAGAGGGAACCAGTCCTGATTATATTTCTCTTGTAAAAACAGGCAAAACAAGGACTTATTTTCCCGAAATATTCTCTGTTCGGTTGTAGCGACGGACTCGTTTTCCGTGCGTCGAGAAACGTGAACTTACGAGTGAAAGCTTGCTCTGATTAGGGCGCGCAGCAACCACATAGCACTTGACGTAAGTCCAATGAAGGAGTCTTTTTGAACAGTATACACGCTGTTGAAATGAAATACGAATAATCGATTATGTGTCCATGGAGTTAAAGAGGCACATAACTTTTGCCGTTTCCAAAGAAATCATTGAAATTGCGGCTCAAGGGACAGGAACGGTACTCGTCTGAAGACGTTGAACATTTAAGGCAATGCGCAGAAGAAATGCCCCCAGGAGCACCCCAACCGGGGTCGAAGGAAGCACAAATGGTATACTTTGCGAAGCTGTATATGAAAAGTATTCTGCACTTTGGAGACAGGTATGAAACAAACGTCTTATTTCTATAAGAGAAGTGAAGTCATCATATATCGGACCATACTTCGGATGGAGCAACAGCGCATCGCGCTTGCGATCTCATAGCTAAATATCACTCATGCTTAGAAAAGGTTGTAGTCGCTTGCTGCACTTTCACGCGTTCATGCGTGCATTTATGAGCCCCCGGGTGCCTATAATAGTGAGTTGGCCTTACTTACCGAATAAGGCCCAGCAATACTTCGTAGCAATATCAGTGCTTTTATCTCGTTTTGTTTGAGCTTTATGCAAAAGGGAGTCTGCGAGTCAGTATATACAAAGGCAACCACATACCAGAGGGAGGCAGGATGCTCACAAAATATGGTCTGGTGCGAATGTTACATCGAATGCAGTCAATAAACTTTCACATACAGTGGTTGCAGTTTTTAAGGCAAAGTTGTGATCGTGCCACCCTATGTGGGATGTACGCGTCGTGAGGCTCTTAACACCGCGTCGTTGTATTCTTTCGACCAAGAATTAACGCATTTGTATGATCGTTGTAGATAGCTATCTAACCCATGTGCTCGTATCCTGTAACTTTTCATGATATATTCATTCATGACGAAAGATGAGCCCAGCTTGTTCTATGGAACCAACCGTACCAATTCTGCCAATTCGACTTTTGATATTTCTTGCACATATTTTTTCCAAATATAAAGTTTATGTGCGATACGAGAGATTACGGGGTGTGCGTGATAAAGACGGAGTACATCTCTACGACTCTTCTGGACGGTCGATTTACAAGAGAATCATTCTTTCCGTCGCATACCCGGAATCTTTGCTGCGCTGCATGAAAGACCCGTCACCCAGAAGTGATGACCCAGCAGCAACGTATAATGTTGCAAGAATGAGTCATTGCTCATAAAATCAGGGCCTATCCATGCTACTTGCGACTTCCAGTCACCCTTTAACTCCACAGCCGTGGCCTTAAAGTTTCTGACAAACAGTCGCTTCTTTTCTAACGGCCTGACGCGGAAATCGCCACCTTGTAGCTGTTCATTACCGTTCCGACAAAAATACACTTGTCTTTTCTCGACTAACCAGAGATATATAGTGGATCGCTATACACAATTACCTTTTCCTCTTTCATCCCTGAGATCGCGGATCACTGACGCTATTGCCTTCTTTTTGAGATCTAATTGAGGTACCTTACAACACCATAGAAATTAATTTTGGACAACCTCATATCCTGCACGAAAGCAACTGTAGCTTCTTGTCACCGCCAAAACCACTTTTGTCTCCTGGTGAGGGTGAGATATTTGAGTTCCAGCCACGCCATACATAAGATAAAATTGTTTCTCGCGCTCGATTGAAGGACAAGATAACAATGCACACAATCAGAATCATCAAGCTTTGTACCGCCTTCAATATGTCCACCAGTGCCACCGTCGCGAGATGCACAAATATTTTCATATATGTCGTACCTGTCAGCCAGGTGAAAGAGAAACTCAAGGTGCAGTTGTGTTGTATCACATTAGATAAAACATCTGCGAAGGCTTCTGTGCAACTTGGAAACCAAGACACCTTTCCTTTCCCCGGCATTGCTGAGGTCCATTTTCCAGCGCATTTAAAGTGCTTCGGTTGCCGTACCCCATCTGGCCCTCGCGACACGATAGTTGTACTGTGTGACACCTACCCTCCCCCCGAGAAAATTGTTATGAAAGTAGCTGCACTCACTTTAATACCCTCCAAGATGAAGGAATTTCTTCTTCGGCTCCCGAAGAGTGTCTATCACTATTGCTGCAATAAAAACTATCAACACTTGGACACAGTCCACCAGTCTCGACTGTCCTAGCGGGAATACAAACGTTTCAAACGCACCTCATAAGTCTAGAAGGCGGTGCGGACACGGTGATGTAAGTAAGTTTCCATGCTGCATGTTATTTCTGGCTTAGGTATACAGCGCGACGCCTGTTCCTTCTTCGTGTAGCACATGTCCGACCCAAATCTTTTGTGACTAGAAGAAGTGTTTTTCTGTAACATTCAAATTGCTAGATGCTCATTAGAGCCACGGAGTATCCTATGAATGAGTTGATGATACTCACAAGAGTTCTGGGAAAATCAAAAGCATATTTTTGACAAATTTAATTGCATATAACTGAGCCTTCAGACTGAAAATTTGAATAATGATGAACTTTATTAGGATGAAGGACAAGTCGTTTTGCGATTTCGTTGCAAACTCTACTGCCAGAAATGAAGCGTGCAATGAAAAGTGTGCAAGTTTTAGGTTTGATCGTGAGCTGTAATTATTCAAATTGCGAGTATTATTATATCTCAAATTTAATGGATATAATGCCTTAGCCAAATTTTGATTGATGTGTTAAGAATAAAAAAATGTAAATTTTAAACTGAATGATTCTGCTTGAAAATTTCTCAACATACGTCGAAATGTCGTTTTGTACGTGAACTTTACAAAGGCGAGTATCTCACAGCTCCCATATTGACAAGTGGCTGCACCGAAACAGCAGATAGATACGATTTGTCGTCAAGGTTTTGTTTTAGTTTCGGTAAAAAACACCCTGACAGGATAACGCAAGGTGATGAAATCGAATTCTCAAAAAAATATCCTCACTCATCGGTCAAAATTCATTTTCGATCTTGGTGGCAAATAAGGAGGCAAAGCACTTAGCGAAGATAAAACCTCATGAGCGCAACAGTCTTTGGAGCATTGCGGCTTTATATTTGGTTACTGCTGCTTCCAACAAAGTTGCACTTGTGCGACGCCTGGAGTGATCCCAAATCCAACCGCAAAAGCTTCACCCTCTGTATCGTATCTAGTGAGTCACTCAAGTTTTTCTTGTTTCTTTAATCAAAGTCGCTTTCACAAGCTGTTTTCGTTCGCCAATTTTCCAATTTTGAAGTCCTTGAAGATGCCGCCAACAAAACTAAGTTCGCGAATACTGGTAGTGAATCCAACGACTAACGCAAGTTGGCGGCCTTTTTAGCTTACGAGGGCGATTATATCACAGCAGTCAAAGAGCACGGCCACGAAAAGCACACAGTGCGGCAGTACTGCGACAATACAACGTTCCTGGTCGTTGATACCATGGCCGTGGTCCTATATAGCTCTCTGGATATTAAAATTATACTGGCACTGCTCTTAACTTTGATCTCATTACTAATCCTGTGACAGTTGCAACCAATATGACAGTAGCATGGATGACAGCATTCTGGTACCGCAAGCTGGACGTGTGATCCACGACGTCGAATAAACGGTTTCCCTTTCTTAACCGACATTGTCAACGGTAGATTTTTAGGATGTGGTTGAGACGCTTTTACCAAACAAAGCGAGTTGCACCGTATGAATCACTTCATCCGAATGTGCGATGTGCTGGGCGTACAGCTAAAGGGCAACATTTCGCACAATGCGTAAGCTTTTGACAACAGGGAGAAGGAAGGAAATATATGAGTTTCAGTAGGAAGAAATACTTTTTCCGGCGATTTTGTGATGCTAGTAATGAAAATCATTATTGGTGAATGAAATATGTAAGCTGATAACAATAAAAGTGGTCATCTATGTGAATAGGGGCACAGGAAAATTAAATTGTGAGGCCATAGAATGTCATGACCAACTATTGCAAGATGTGCAATGTACATCTTGTGTATTATTAGCTTAAAGGATCGAAGAAAGAATTATAGAAGTTTATAGAGGTATTAGCTCGAACGTCAAGGCCATGCGCCGAAGTGGATGGCTGGCAGTAATCATTCGCATTGGATACATGGACCGACATAATTTTTAAATGATCGGCTTCCAGGTCCTTTGTACATTCTTTGTTAAGACATGCAGACAAAGGTTATCCACCGTTTTGAGCAGAATCACAACAGATAGATACAGTACGTTTTACAGTACGTTCGGTAGCATTGTCATTACGAATTGATCAGCTAAGATGACGATATTTCAGATAAATGCAAGACATGTAACGTTATACTTATAGTGCTCAGTTTTTTATTAAACTCACAAGTTTATCTGTATGATAACGTTTCGTCTCTTACGCGTTACACGAGCTCTTGCCTAAAGGCTGCACATCTAAGGCCTCACATATCTTGAAATAGAATTTGGTGCGTTCCAATTCCTTACTCTGGTAAGGTGCGTCTCGGCCGCACTCGAGATTTCCGTTGATATGTTGCGTACTTAAAGCAAATCCATTCACGCCGACGACAATATCGTGAATTGCTTGACCATCTTGCGGTGTCATCCACATCCAAAGTACGCCACATTTGAATCAGTGGCAACAATATCGGGATTATTCAAAAGATCAATGCCTAAAGCTTTGCCAGCCATGAAATAATTGTAGTTCCAAGAGAGCTGAATGGGACCACGGCCGTGGTAGCGGCGACCAGGAGCGCACGGATAGGTGATTTTATCGCAGTATTGTTCAACAGAGAACGTGTCACGCTCGATCTCCTCAGTGTCTTTGAAGTAATTGCTCTCATATGCAGTTTGAGCCAGAAAAGCCGCAAGCTCGCGCTTGTCATTAACGTCATTGCCAGTGTTAGCAAACTCGGGATAAACATTGGCTGCGCTTACAAGGTTGTCAAAGTTGTAAAGGGCTACAGCATCTGGAAACATACTTTGAAAGCCCTTTTGATCAAAAAAACGATCAAAGCTCGGATTCCCATTCGTTAAACCCTCAGCCTTTACTGGGTTTGACTGCTGGGCGTCTCCACTCGTACTGGTACATATTCCAATGGACGCGACAAGTCCGACGACTTTCATGCTTATACTTGTACTACGAGATAAAGTTGGATTGTGTGTGAGTAAACGTAAGATCGGAAGTGAGACCAGATTAATGACGCGCGATGGGAAGAATCACTCACAATCGCCTTATACGCTAACGTCACTCAAGTGGGTCTCATATAAATCATCGCGGTAGTAAAGTATCAATACGATGACTGCATTTCCCTCCACAGGTTTCATTCTTGACATGAAGCTTTAGATTATATGTGATTTGCCTACGCAAGTATGCTTTGTGGACTTCATGCGTTGCCCTAACCGATAGAACATTTTGTTGACTGAGTCACCATATCCTTTACATGAATTCTACTTTTTTGTGTGCGTAGAATTTGTCAAACACTATAATATTTTATATGTTCACGCTTATGGCTCTATACTCCAAATCATGTGTTCAAGAAATATTACAGTTATGAAGATTTGCTGCTAACCAGATAAACATAGTATTTCCAAAAGCATGCCATATCTAGAGCGCAGACTTCGGTATTGCATCATATTAGTTGTTGCCTAATAAATACTCACTTAGCGCGTTGCACAATTGTTGGAAGTAGAGGCTCACTCGGTTATGCAGCGCTTGGAGTCACCATGATATCGAGTTTTAAAAGGGATCTACTTACTCATAACAACAATTTCTTTGCAGCATGATAAATAATCGCGATATATCGTCCACAACATTTCACAAAGGCCGAAATCTAAAATTTAGCTTTAAGCTGTGTTGATAAAATATGAACTTGACGAGACCCAATAATTTGAAAAGACGGGGCCGAAACAATGACAGCCAGAATGTCGCTAATGAAGAAAAATGCACTAGCTAGGCTTTCAGTTGCTTCTTAGAAAGCGTGTCTTTAGCTGATTAGATGTTTTTGTGCAGACACAGACGAAGATCGAATTAAGGATCCCGCGTATACTGGTTGGTCTTGTACGCCCCACCAACCAAGAGTGAGAATTACGGTATCTGATATACTACATATTACTGTGTCCAGTCAAAAATATCTAATATTCTACGTGTACCATGGACCTCACCTTAACAAATTCATCAGCACTTATACTTTGGTGATTTTAAATCCTCACAATCACACGAAATTGTAATGTGAATTTACACAATCGTGCAATATTATTCTTTGCACAACGGAAACGGTGAGCTTACAAAAAGGCGTGGTCTTTGTGATCATTTAAACCATACCAGGTTAGGAGGACAAGGTGATTCCGATAAGAACGGTCGCAACAACTCTCTGATTCCTAACCCAACACCAACACCCTCAACTGGATCGATTCGTTCACACTCAGCCTTCCCTGGTTGCCTACGGCGGTCACAACAGTCCTTACAACACAATGAAGACGCTTGTGCGACGAGAAAGTAGTTTTTGATGTGAAGGGAGAACGGCAGTCCCGACTTGGAGGGAAGAAGATCGACTAATGGGCTTAAAGGCAAATCTGAAATTATATAAAAATGAGTCAATAATTGCTAGAGCTACATACAAAACACCGAAGGGTCGCTAGAGGTTTAGCCAACAACTTCAAAGCTCCTATAAATCTGATTTATATGAACTAAAGTTGCAACACAGCTCGAACATATACAAGATCCTGGGCGTACGGAGCTTTAACTTCAATTTTTACGGAAAGTTCCCAGTAGAAATGACTGGCTTACGCCACCCGCTTCATAGACAGAGACATGTCAGTCTCGTCACCAGTACAAATCTCCAAGTAGGAACTAGCATTCTGGATTACACAAAGTGTTTGTGTGCTCATTAATGATAACGCATATGCCCGTGGGAAGACCATTCTGTAATCTGTTTGATCAAGTTCCCACCATGCACGCAGAAGGTACATACAGTACCTCCATATAATGGCTAAGTGTAGCCCATAACAGCGACACCTCGTCTAGGTACTGACGACGACGTCTAGCTCAGCACGAATAAGCTATACCAGGAACAACAAGCTCGGTTTAGCCGTCTGAAAGAGCAGGACTCGAAAGAATACATCACGTCGTGATTCTGGTTTCAGACCAACAGATACTCTCGCCGCGCTTGCTTACTAAGGTCACCGATCTTCGTAAGCTTCCTCTAAGCAAAAGGCTACGGCAGCCCCGTTGCACGTCTCTCGTGGAGTATAATGCAAACTGAGCACCTTACCACTTTATTGGCTCTTTTTCCACTTCCTAAACGTGCGGGGTCCATCCTATGTGCGCTTTTATACTAGACTCGTTGAGTCAAAGCTGACTCTTTGCAAGGTGTTTGGGAACCCCGTTGTAAGTTACGCCTTGCGTCGTTAAAGTCGGTGCAACTCAGGTGTAACCAGTATGAGAATTTTATCTTGTAGTAGCGTTTGGCTCTCTCCTCATTTGCGAATCGTTAGCATTGATCAGCGACGTCGATTAGTTATGCGAGAGAACGTGTCGCTTTGATTGGCAATTACTCTTATGGTGAAGCTGCGCGCTTTTGGCTGTGACCTTATCAGTTGGGTCTTTTCCTTCGAAGCCTGCGCGCTCGCGTTAGACGTTGCTGATAAGTGCATCTTGGGGCCCGTAGTCACCTCGCCGCGTGAGTTCCATGTGAGTCTGACGCCATGGCTTTGAACTTAGGTCGACCCTACTGAAATGTACACAGCTCTACTGGCACCAGCCTTTTCGATTTCGGCCCTATTTTTTACCCTAGCCCAGATCTTAACGTCAATGTGATTGCGGGTTTTTTTAGAAGGCGCCTTAATATGCTTGTCATAACGCTTGCCAAGGTGATTTATGGAAACCTGTGAAATTTACTGCACTGCGTGTTGTGAGCTTATCTTCAAAAAAACATCACAGTCGATCGATGTCTTAAACGTGTCAAGTTAGTCAAAAGGAAAAATCCAAGTGGAAGGATGTAGCAGGGCTATTTTGTGCGCCAGTATTAAGATGCACACCAGAGATAGGTACCGTAGTGTGTAGTGTTATAACACTCAGTGTTGATATATCACGACATTATGTATATTAAATCAAGTCATTTGCATATGATTGTATATTGCAGCAACATTCAAAAGTAGGCAAATGTACGTCTCGTCTTTTGGTCTATTAAATTCTATCTCCAGCTCCTAAGGGCAGGAGTCGCGAACGGTTGTTCGCTGGAAGGTTGTATACCTTGCTGCGGTTGTCAAAGCAAAATATAGCATTTCACTATACCGATACAATAAATACGCGACGACGTCTGGGCTTTGATTTCCGACCTGGAGTGCGGACTAAACCGAGTTGTTGACTTAGCATTAAAACGGATAGACTCTTAAAAGAACCATTGTTAGCTCTGTTCAGCTCATGTGCGTGTCTTCTTCCTAAAATAAGCTCGCAGCGCTCAGTTGAGTTGTAGAGACGAATGCTTTTTAGATATAGTCAGAAGATAGAGATTCTTGCTCTAATTGAGCATTTAATGTAACGGAGTTACACATACCCTGGTGACAGGGGTGTGTGTTACACCAGATGAGCATGGTATGACAACACCCACACAAGAATACGGTACGGGGCGGATAGCCAGCAGTTATCAATGTATTTAGATTTTACTTAACATATTTAGGAAAAATCATGCATTTAAAATCAGGCGACTTTGCTGCAGATAAAAATAAATAAAGTCAGTTTTGAATTCAAACCGAGAAGTTTATTAGCCTTGGATTAAGGCTATAATTACTCTCGGAGTAAGCAGATTGCGATCCGCTAAACTCGTACTTGTTCTGAGTATAGAACGAAATGTCGATGACCTAACTTACGCTTCTTTGAAGCGCAAAGCTACGGCAGCCCCGCTGCACTTGGTAGCACTTGTAGTCAATCTACATCTGACTCGTTTAGACTGATCCTCTGTGAGGATGGAACAATTTTCCTCTTTGCCGCAGGGCACGCAAAACGGGCTTAAAAAGCTGATGTCCTTGCTGGGCCTAGAGGGCGTGCGGGCCTTGCGCAGCAAGGCCCCGAGGCAATCGGTGCGCGTCTAGAGGTGTTTTTAAATTACGAAAACACGCTGCTATAGCTGTCTGCATCATTTGTGTCTATGACGCCACCGACAGTAAGGGATGACTTCCCCTGCCCAAAGCCGCTCATGGTGAGCGATAAGGTTTTTGAGGGAAAGGATGAAGAGAATCTTCTGCTCTGGGCGAGAGAGGTCGAGATGGCCATCGCATCCGCCATGCTCCAGACCGAGAAATAGTGCG